GTGCCGTTCCGGCCTTCATAGGTGCTCGCTAACAGCACTTGCCCCAACAGTCTGTTCCAGGCTATACGGGGGGTCTTTGTCTTGTATGTAGAGGTGCATTTATTTAGTACGTCGCCAACCGTGCTAATTGGAGGTTCGACAGAGGTGGGGGAGGTGGGGGGGAAGGACAGCGAACGCCACTGCAAGGGAGAGAAACCTCCCCCCCCCCCCGAAGGTTTTTATGGCGTTTAAGCCGAGATCTGAATTTAACGCTTGAAATGGAGGGCAACTACACGTGTACGCACACACACAGGGCGCACACACACGTGTACACACACAGGGCGCACACACGTGTACACACACACGTGTACACACACACGTGTACACATACAGCACGACGCACACACTTGTACACAGACACGTGTACACACACAAACGGCGCACACACGTGTACACACACACGTGTACACACACCCACACGCGGTGCACACGCGTGTACACACACACGTGTACACACCCACACACGGTGCACACGCGTGTGGGTGTGTACACACACATGTACACACACACACGTGTACACACACCCGCACGCGTGTACACACACACACGTGTACACACCCACACGTGTACACGTGTACACACACACACGGTGCACACGCGTGTACACGGTGTGCGGGCGGGGGGACACGTCAAGCCGGAGGTGACTGAAGGGCCGGGGTCATTTTCTTCCAATTCAATAACTGAATCAATAAATCATGAACCCCGTTCAGCTCCGCCGACAGCCACCGAGATTAGCCCCCCCCCTCCCCCCGTTCACAACACCGACCCAGCCAGCAGACAGCTTCGCAGGTAGCTCAAATCGGCGTCTCAAGGCGCAGAGATTTGGTGGTCTCAGCACGATCACCAATCACTTACACAGAGCTGTGGTTCTAAACCTTTGCTGCAGCCTTTGCACCCCTTCGGTTCTGAATCGTTTTTTTTTTATATAATGTTTATAAGGGGCCGTCCATAAATGACGTCACACGATTTTGCACGATTTTTGACCCCCCCTCCTCCCCCCCATAATCACACGGCGTCACAGAATGTCAGACCCCCCCCCCCCCAAAAAAAAATATAAAACATGCTTCAAATCGCTTTAAACTGTCATTTTATTGCGTATTTATTGTGGCGCTGCACTCTGATGTTGTAGGAGAAAACATTTACTAAAAAATCTATTTAATTAAGTAGAACGTGTTGTCTATATTTATTTAAAGTTGCGCATTTTTACGTGACGTCACATTTCTCACCCCCCCCCCTCTCGTCACACATTGTCACAAATGTCTGCCCCCCCCCCCCCCCCCCAGGTGCGTGACATCATTTATGGACGGCCCCTAAATACATATGGTTTGATGAAACAAAGTAAGCTGTACTTACATGCCCCGTGCTTAATGTGTGTGTGGATGACTTACCTGCTAAAACAAACCTTGCAAAGACTCGCGTCTCGCACCTCCAGGGATTGCGTGCACGCCGGGCTAAGAGCCACCGTTATAGAGAGATCCGTAATAGACGTTAGAGACCCATCGTAGACTCACACAGAGATCAAAAGACTCGCAAAGAGAGACCCGTGGTATCACATCGACTGAGTTGTGATTGACCCGGGTTATGATGGTCTCGGCGCGGTCACTAATACCTGACCCCCCCACCCCCCCGTAAAAAGCCAAAAGATTCTCGCATTAAACGTCATTCCGCACTTAATGTGGATAAATTCCAGTTCCAATGACTATAAATCCTGCAGTGTGACCGTCACGTGACGAGCATTGCTTTGATATGGTGAGCGCGCGGGACGTATGAATTTGTTGAACTTCTTTCGCACCGTACGTAGCCAACGGTGCTAATCGGATGTGCGGACAGTGTTGACCCCCACCCCCACTCAGCCCGCCCCTTACTGTGTGAAACCGGAGGTAATTAGAAGGCCTTTCAGACGTAGCTCCGTAATGTCCGCTTTAACTTTAGCCGCTCGTGGGATGCGGTGGCTACTCTGCTCGTTGAGCGTTATGTTCAGTTTATTTTGAAACGCCCTGTGAGCTAAGAAGCTATTGATTCGGGATTCATCAACAGAAGCATCGGTTCTCTGGTCAAACGGACCGTAACATTGCAGGTCGCCAGAAAACTAGGAATACGAATAAATATAAACGAAGAAAAAATTATTCTTGGTTCTTTCGGTAAAGTCACGTAGAATTGAAATAATAAAATAATAAAAAAATAAAACGTAAAAAAATAATTCTCACGACGTTTTGGCCATCGTGAGAATTATTTTATTATGTTTTATTTTTTATTATTTTATTATTTCCCTTCGACGTGACTTTACCGAAAGAACCAAGAAGATAAATCCCTGCAGTCACGAAAGCTTTAAATCGAAAAGAAGAAAAAATTGGCAACAAATCACATAACGTCGAGTATATTACCAAATTGTTATTCTTCAAATATTTTACCAAAGTGAAGAACGTATCGCAAACAAGGCATTAATAGTTTTAATCTGTTCAGGGGTCCGAGTGAATGCCACGCAGCTTCTCTCTCCGAATGTTGTTTCCAGGTTCGTGCCCCGCGAGTTTGTTTTTTTGCTGCACGTTTTCCCCTTCCACAGGCTGACGAAAAAATAAAATGAACGAGGATAAGAGTTCATAAAAAAACACACATCTCCCCCTGATGGTACTGCTCCGAATCGGTCGCTCTCAGGGGAGGGTCCTAGGGTTTTACAGCTTCACAAAGGGTGGGGGGTGGAGGGGGGTCCCTTAACTTAAAGCTGCGTAAACAGAGCCCCACATTCATCACAATGACAAAATACATAAGAATCCCATTTGATGTCTGTTCGCTCGGTAACGTGATATTCATTTCACGTCGCCTCTTGTGCCCTTCGTAAGAGGATGAGCCAGTTGCGGCATAAATATAGACCGGCCAGGGAACACAAAGCACCGAGCAATACAGTCACATATTTTGGGAACTGTGGTCGAGAGCGGGGGGAGGGGGCGTGGAGCGGGGGGGACTGCCACTCCAGGACGGGTTGGTGGGGGGGGTCCCTCCACATTCCGAATTAACATCCACGCTTTTAGAGTCTTTGGCTGCTTCTATGCATGTCCACACGATTATAATGATGTTGAGCCACTCTATTGAGCTATCATTTGCGACATCCAGGTCGCTTCTGCAAAAAGAGCCGCATAGCCCAGTGTGGCCTTAGCTGGTAAAACAACACAAACTAAAAAAATAGATTAAAAAAGAGTAGGCAAATAGAGTGCCACTCGAGGCGTGTGGGTGGCGGTGGAGGCGGTTTGCATGGCCAAGCGACCGGGCCTTGTCCTTACCGGTGCATCCTAAAAATAAACGAAACAATATTATATTTTAGCAAGTACAGTAGCGCCCACTCAGCTATAGAGCTCTTTTTGCAGAAGGAACCTGGCCAACGAAGTGACCATGTTGACATTTATAGTCGACAAACACTCGAAACGCATGTTGATTTTACATTTGGAGGAGGGGAAACCAGAACCCCGAGAAAAAAAATCCACGCGACCACGGGGAAAGAGAGAGTAAGAGAGAGACACACACACACCGCAAACTCCAAATACTGGGTGCTTCAACACAATGTGAACACTTGTGAGAATTTGCAACAACGCCACGAGAAATGTTGTGCCTCCGGGTCTCTGGAGACCACCTGGAGAAGATCCCAGGCACGCGTTGACAACGATGGCGAACAAGTGGGAGACTTCTTCTTGGCTCTTTCGATAAAGTAACGTAGAATGGAAATAATAAAATAAAAAAATAAAACATAAAACATTTTTTTATTATGTTTTATTATTTAAAAAATAAAGCACAATAAAATAATTAAATATTTTTATTTTATTATTTTAAAAATAAAACATAATAAAATAATTTATTATGTTTCATTTTTATTATTTTAAAAATAAAACATAATAAAATAAGTTTATGATGTTTTATTTTTATTATTTTATTATTTCCATTCTACGTGACTTTACCGAAAGAACCAAGAAGATGAATCCCTGCAGTCACGAAAGCTTTAAATCGAAATTTAAGTGGGAGACTCTTTGTCTTTCTGAAGCTATTAACGTTACATTTGTTATCACGTTACAGCGTATTACTATCCATTTCTTTTCCCATTAAAATCGACAGTCCCATCCATATAAGCGTTCACATTTTTGGTTTTTTTGTAAGCACCCCGTACACAACGGGGAAATCGAAGCCCACGAACTTCCACCGTGCAACCCACCAGCCGAGCGAGTAGAAACACTCGTCAGTTCTTTCGGTAAAGTGACGTAGAATGTTTTAAAAATAATATTTATATAATAGAGTACGACGTTTCGATTGCAACACAAGCAACCGTCATCAGGTAGAACTACATTTGAGAGAGAGACAAAACACAGACACGGAGAGACACAGACAGACACACAAGCAGAGAGAGACAACACAGATACACAGAGAGAGAGACGCACAACATAGACACACAGACAGACACACAAGCAGAGAGAGACAACACAGAGACACACAGACAGAGACACACAACATAGACACACAGACAGACACACACAGAGAGAGACAACACAGACACACAGACAGAGACACACAACATAGACACACAGACAGACACACAAGCAGAGAGAGAGACAACACAGATACACACAGAGAGAGACACACAAGATAGACACACACAGATAGAGAGAAAGACAACACAGACACACACAGAGAGAGACACACAACATAAACACACAGACAGACACACAGCAAGAGAGAGACAACACAGACACACACAGAGAGACACACAATATAGACACACAGACAGACACAAGCAGAGAGAGACAACACACAGAGAGAGACACACAACATAGTCACACAGAGACCCAAATGCCTCTGTGTCGAGGCCTTAAATAGACAGACGGTGGGGGTGGGGGGTTGTTCACGAAAGCTTCAAATCAAGTTTGAGTAGAAACACCCATCGTCCCCCAAGCCCACCGCGTTTGCACCGCGAGCCTCACCTGCCGATGAGCAAGAACTCGCCAACGGCTCCCAGGTGTCGCATGGCGATGAGCAGCCCGCGCACGGTCATGCCCTCGCAGAAGCAGACAACCACGTGCGTCTTGGGCACCTGCGCGCGCAGCTGCTCCACCAGGCGCTCGAAGTTGCTCTCCTCGGCGTTGCTGTAGATTTTGTCGGCGTAGGCGATGCAGATGCCCGCGTCGTCGGCCAGCTTGCGGAACGCCTGCATGCCGCTCTCACCGTAGTTTCCTGCCCCGATGGGACCCAACGATAGGTGGGTGGGTGGGGGAGGGAGGGGGAGGTAAGGTCAGCACAAGGAGGTCATTGGGGTCACGTGGTCGTAGGGGTCACGCGAGCTGGAAGGAAACGCGAGGGGAGGATGTCACGGGGTCGCGCAGGTCTCAGCCTCGGCGGTGATTCGGGAATCGTCTTATGCTGCGTGGAATCAGAACGTGTGTTTATACTGGAGGAGAAATCCGATGAGCTGCAAAGCTCTTTATCACAGATGTCCAGTAGCTGCGGGTAACAACGTTACAACAAAGAAAAATACGGCGGAGCGAGGGGGTGGGGGGGGGAGAGAGTTTGAATCATGTGGAGAAGGGAGCTCAGATGTAGCTCTGTGGTAGCCGCTTCCGCGGGACGTTCTCTACTAATACGGATGGGCCGCCCTGCTTTGCGACAGATCGTCTCTTTCTCTCTTCAGGCTCCCGACGAGTTCCAATGGGGCGATGAGAAGACGGCTGAGGATTTATACTCTTTGTTTTTTCGGTAAAGTCGCGTAGGTAAAAAATTAAATTAAAATTAATAAAAATAAAGTAAGGCTGAGGATTTCACTCCGGGCGAGTGGCAATTTGCAAGTTCAGACATTCTGGGGGTGGCAGGGTGGGCGGATGGGTGGCTGGGTCGAGTTTCGCAACAGTGGGATTGCCCTTCCGTTGCTGCTCCTGCCACTGGTGGTGCCGCGGCTCGGTCTGATCAGATTCCACCATCCGGCCTCCACTGGGCGCCAGATCCGAGCAGTGGACTGCACTGAGGTCTCGCTGCGGATGTGTAATGATTGTTTCTGCCAACTCGGCACGGTGCCACCTCCCCCGCCGCCACTCCTTCAAATTGGCTTCCCTTACCCCCCTTCTCCCCCCATTCCCCCCTCTCCCTTACCCCCCTCTCGTTAACCCCCTTTTACTTCCTCCCGTACCCTCCTCTCTCCCCCTCCCCTACCCTCCTCTCCCCACCTCCCTTACCCCCCTTCTCCCCCCTCTCCCCCCTCCCCAACCCCCCTCCCTTTCCCCCTCTCTTACCCCCCTTTCCCCCTCCTTTACTCCCCTTTCCCCCTCCCTTACCCCCCTTCCCTTACCCCCCTCCCTTACCCCCCTCTCCCCCTCCCTTACCCCCCTCCCACCCCGCCACCGTCACACCCACCCCCCTGTCTCAGTGCGGGGGGAGGACAATCGCGAGTATCGCACCTTTAATTGCGCAGCTTCCGAGCGGTGATCAATGCAAATTCGATTGCCGAGTCGGCGCTTTCCTTCGGCTCGCCACGAAAAGGTCGCGCGAAAGGTCAGCGGATTTTGTTTTGGGCAGATTAAGGAGGAGGGAGGAGGAGCAGGAGGAGAAGGAAGGAGGAGGGAGGAGGAGGAGGAAGGAGGAGGAGGAGGAGGAGGAGGGAGGAGGAGGAGGAGGGAGGAGGAGGAGGAGGGAGGGAGGAGGAGGAGAGGGGGAGGAGGAGGAGGAGGAGGAGGGAGGAGAGGGAGGAGGAGGAGGAGGAGGGAGGAGGAGGGAGGAGGAGGAGGAGGGAGGAGGAGGAGGAGGGAGGAGGAGGGAGGAGGAGGTAGGAGGAGGTAGGGAGGAGGGAGGAGGAGGAGGGAGGATGGAGGAGGAGGGAGGAGGAGGGAGGAGGGAGGAGGAGGGAGGAGGAGGAGGGAGGAGGAGGCGGAGGAGGAGGAGGCGGGAGGAGGAGGAGGAGGAGGAGGCGGGAGGAGGAGGAGGAGGAGGGAGGAGGAGGATGGGAGGAGGAGGAGGAGGGAGGAGGAAGGAGGGAGGATAGGAGGAGAGGAGGAGGAGGGAGGAGGAGGAGGGAGGAGGAGGGAGGAGAAGGAGGAGGAGGAGGAGGAAGGAGGAGGAGGGAGGAGGAGGGGAGGAGGAGGAGGAGGGAGGAGGAGGAGGAGGAGGAGGGGGGGGGAGGAGGAGGGAGGAGGGGGAGGAGGGAGGAGGAGGAGGAGGAAGGAGGAGGAGGGAGGAGGAGGAGGAGGAGGGAGGAGGGGGAGGGGAGGAGGGAGGAGGGAGGAGGGGGAGGGAGGAGAGGAGGAGGAGGAGGGAGGAGGAGGAGGAAGAGGAGGGAGGAGGAGGGAGGAGAAGGAGGAGGGAGGAGAAGGAGGAGGGAGGAGGAGGGGAGGAGGAGGGGAGGAGGAGGAGGAGGAGGAGGGTGGAGGAGGGAGGACGAGGGAGGAGGAGGAGGAGGAGAGAGGAGGGGGAGAGGGAGGAGGAGGGAGGAGGAGGGAGGAGGAGGAGGAGGAGGGGGAGGAGGGAGGAGGGGAGGAGGAGGAGGAGGAGGAGGAGGAGGAGGAGGAGGAGGAGGAGGAGGAGGAGGAGGGAGGAGGAGGGAGGAGGAGGAGGGAGGAGGAAGGAGGAGGGAGGAGGAGGAGGAGGAGGAGGAGGAGGAGGAGGGAAGAGGAGGGAGGAGGAGGGAGGAGGAGGGAGGAGGAGGGAGGAGGAGGAGGAGGAGGAGGAGGAGGAGGAGGAGGAGGGAAGAGGAGGGAGGAGGGAGGAGGAAGGAGGAGGAGGGAGGAGGAGGGAGGAGGAGGGGGAGGAGGAGGAGGGAGGAGGAGGGAGGAAGAGGAGGGAGGAGGAGGAGGAGGGAGGGAGGAGGAGGAGGAGGAGGGAGGAGGAAGGAGGAGGAGGGAGGAGGAGGAGGGAGGAGGAGGAGGAGGGAGGAGGAAGGAGGAGGAGGGAGGAGGAGGGAGGAGGAGGGAGGAGGAGGGAGGAGGAGGGAACAGGGTGGAGGAGGAGGCGACCCCCCTGTTTTTGAGCGTTCTGCTCGGGCAAACGGAATGAAGTGGCCCACGCAATTACGCGTTTTGTTGTTGCTGTTGTTGCCGTTGTATCGCCGAGCCCAGATTCACTCATTTCCCCCTTTCATCTCTCTCTCTCACTCCTCCCTCCAGGCGAACTCTGCGCCTGCCGCTCGCTGCCTTTGGCTCCGGGCTGACTCTCTGCCACGGAGAATTTTGCACCGAATTTCCGCAGCCCGCACGCCCGTCCATCTCCCTGCGACGCACTTGAAATCAACGTTGCACGTTGATTTCAGTGGGAGCCACTCTCCTCCTCCCATCCCTCGCCCCCACCGACGCCGCGTCTGTCCACTCATCGGTTAATGGAGTAAATGGGTTTGACGCAGTTCGTCTCTGTTAAGGGCTATGCGGGGGATCATTGTCTTTTAAAATATAACCAAAGAGCAATCCAATATCAACACGTCGGACGGAAAGAACATCCACCGTGGAGGAGACGGAGCAACGGAATCATCTTGCGAGCAGGATCGTGACGGATGGCGGTGGCGATGGTGGTGGCGTCTGGTGGAGTACCCACACCATCCAGCAGTGGATTGACCTTCGCCGGCGACGATGACGACGACGATGAGGACCGCGCAGACGTCGCGTTAATCCCGGGGAAGGAGACCGACTGCGCTCGTCTTGCGCCACACGCATCGTGGTGGCAGTGGTGGCAGTGGTGGCGGTGGTGGTGATTAATGACCGCTCACCTCCGCTGTAATTTCCTAAAAACACCCCCAGCCCACCACCCCCCATACCGACTCGTGCTCAGGTCACCCACTTACGGTGACGTGGATTATTTAGCGCCTTGTCATGTTTCACACCGCACCCCCCAACGCATCTTGGAACGCCGCACTCTCCTAAGAAGACAAAGATCCCGCACCCCCCCCCCCCCCTGTATAGCCCGCAACAGACTGCTGGAGCAAGTGCTGTTAGCGAGTGTCAGTACCCTGTGAAGGCCTGCACTGTGGCACACGAGGGGGTGCGTGGGCAAAGCCCCACGCCCGGCCGCCTTTGTCTCCGCAGCGGGGACGTTGACACATCGCACCATTCAATTCCCACGACCTGTGCTGTGACGCGTGGTCGGTAACCACGCGGTCGTTAGCAACGCAGCACTTGCAATCATTTGTATTTTGTAAATTAGCAACAACAACAGCAACAAATGCGTGGAGATAAAATGCACGCTTGGAATTAATATTGGCGAGAGCTTTTGCCCACAATTTGCCGCTTTTTTTAAAGGAAAGCTCGAGGACACTTGGCTAGGAATCATCAGCGAGTTGTCGATGCTCGTGGTTGGTGGGCGTGGTGCCACTTGCCACGGATAGTACACACACACAAAGACAAAGATCCCCCCGTATAGCCTGACGAACAGACTGTTGGGGCAAGTGCTGTTAGTGAGTAGCACCTATGAAGGGACACGGCACACGAGTGGCCAGCACCACGCCCGGTCGCCTTTGTCTCCCGCGTGGGGATGTTTACTCACCGCACCAGATACTCATTCGAGGCTGAGTCGACCTAGAGGAGGCCCAGGACAGGTTTAGATAATCGTCACTTGGTGTTGGCTAGCCGTGAGCGGGAATTTAAATCTGGTCTCGACCGGGTTCGTAGCGCGACGCGCTAACCACTACGCTGCCGCTCCCCCCCACCCACACACACACAGGCTGATGTCCCTCCCGTACCCCCACCCCCCTCCTGGGGTCACACTTCTTTAAGTGATTGCACCAAAGATTTTTGCATTGTGGGAACAACTCCCATAATGCACAGCCGAGGGCTGTTGTCGAGGCCGCTTTTGTGACGCCACGTCGCTATTGGCGTTAGGGCACGTGGCGTGTGGGGCACGTGACGTGCGGGGCACGTGGCGTGCGGGGCACGTGGCGTGCGGGGCACGTGGTGTGCGGGGCACGTAGCGTATGAGACACGTGGTGGTCTCGATTCGGAATGTACTCCGGGACATCACGCTATCTCTCCATATCTGTCTCTCCGCGTAAAAAAAACAAAGGAATGAAACTATTCATTTTGTACACGTTCCCATCAGCCACGACTGCCGTATGAGAGTGATCGATTTAGTTATTTTTTTGTATATTCAGCAGTTAGCAGTGTCTGATATAATTCGAACCGAAAACAACGCTGGACCGGTTTTGACAATCGCTGTCTCGTCAGCAAGAGTTGAGGCTTGCCGAAAAATATATAAAAATCAATACCAAT